CTGATGGGTTTCACTTACTTCCATTATTTTTTTGTCCTTTAGGTTACATTTTCCTTGTGAAATTCAAAAGTTACAACTTTGGTAATAGTTTTATTAGTTTTTGATTCTACTCATGATTTTCGGCTGCTTCTTTTTCTTTTCTCCAATATTTTTCTTCTGTATGTTCACTATACACTGTTTCCTATTACTTCTTGTTGTTGTGAAGATGACATTTAATTTGAAATAATTTAAACATCGTTACAAATGGAACGTTATCGCAAAATCAATATTCAAACAGCAACTGCCCCAAGCGGTTTAGTCATTTATTTCATTTTGTGTTCGGCTTTTGGTGTGTTACTTAAGAAATTGAATCCTTTCATGGCTAACATTTTCATAAGAACTTCAATAAAAATATACTCCACATTCGAAAAAATAAGAATCTTTTAGATTAAAAAAAAAAACCCTACTGTATGAGAAGAAGTGGAGAAGTTGTTGGGTATAATGAGAAATCAACGGCTCCGAATCAATATTGCTGAGTCATCGAATAAATCACAAGTTGTTTAGTCATTCTTTTTTAGATTTTTCTACTTTAAAATAATTTATGTTTATTAATCAATCTAAGCTAATAAAACCAGTTGGTTTATCCATGAGGAAGAGATCGTAACAAGACGAAAGAGAGACAGTGATAGAGATAGAATGGGTTCATCATCGTCTCCATCTCCACACGACGCCGTACTGGAACAAGCCCGACCCTTTCTCCGAGGAGAGCTAGAGAAGGTCGATCCCAAACTTCCGCCGTTGATCGCCGTCCTCAAAAGCGTCGGTGCCGGCGAGTGTTGGCACAAACACGGTAGCTTCCTAGATCACTTGATCGACATCTACAAGATCCTCAAATTGTGGAAAGCTCCTGAATCAGTCTGCCTCTGTGGTCTATTTCACTCTGCTTACTCCAATTCCTATGTCAATTTAGCCATTTTCGATCCTTCCACTGGCCGTGACGTCGTACGTGACCATGTCGGTGAAGCCGCCGAGTCGTTGATCCATCTCTTCTGTGTTATCCCTAGACAAACCTTGATTCACGACGATCTTCTCTTTAAATACTCCGATCGTGAGCTCGTCGAGCATCTTCGTTGCTCGGAGATTTCTTTGAGGAACGCTAAGGCGAAAGGGGTTTTCGATGGAGAAGAAGAGTGGAGGAAGAAGCTGAATGGTTTAGTGCCTGAAAACGGCGTCGTTGTGAAGCATATCAAGACAGGTGAAGAAATCGTTGTTTCGAGGAGAGTATTTGGTGTTTTCTTACTCATGACAATGGCGGATTTCAGTGATCAGCTTTTTGGGTTCCAAGACGAGCTTTTCAGTAACGACGATGGTCGACTCGAGTTTAGAGGGAACAACGTGACTGCGTTATGGCCTGGGAATGGGAAACCTGGATTGTGGATGAATTCGAATTCGAGAATGGGAGCTATTTATAGCTTGATTGTGAGAGAAGAGGAGATTTTGATGGAAGAGAGGAGAAGAGCTTCTGGTTCTGGGTTTGTTGTGAGAAAAGAGAGAGATGAGGATTTAGAGCTTGTGGTGCCTCCAGTTTTCAACTTCTGCACCAAGGTATGATTCAAATCCCCCCAAAAGTTGTATTCTTATTGATCTAGTTAGCTAGATTGGGTCTTTGTCGTGCCTTGATCTGTCGTTTTGGTACGTCTTGGATTGTATCTTCTACAATTTAGTAGCTTTCATGAAATTGGTCACACTTATATACAAATGATCATGTCTCTAGTTAACCAATTGGTTTCATGTCTTGGATTGTACCTCCATTGTTATCAAGAATTTAGTTTGAGGTTTTAGTGTTTGTTGATAGCTACACATGTAATGGATCAGGTATTGGATGCGAAAGAGCAGATAGAAGCAAGGGAAATATACTGGGAAGTTGTGAGCAGCGACACGAGCAAAGAAGGGTACTTGGAGAGAGCAGAGGAGAGATTGTTGATGTGTATTGAGAAGAACCCATTTGTGGGAGAGCCACATGTGTTGTTGAGTCAAGTGTATTTGGGAAAGAAGAGATTCAAAGAGGCAGAGAGAGAAGCGGAGAAGGGGCTTCTTCTGCTTTTGCAATGGGGAAGTCCTTGGGACAAGAGGATGTCATGGGAAGGTTGGATTGCTTGGGTTAGAGTTCTTCTCATGAAGTCACAGGATCAATCTTGGCCTGATGTTTCTTGGGGTATCTTGAACCTGGGTCTTGTGCGCTAAGGTTGTTGTTTACGACTTCCACACGCTTAATTTCCAAAATAAGGTTTAATAAAAGATTGATAAAAGGAGTCGATTCATGTAGATCAAGTCGTCTTAGCTTTGTGGTATGTGTGAATATTCGACCTTTTGGTTACTTTAACTGTTGAACCATAAGCAAATCATTTTAGACGACAACTCTCCTGAAATATAGCACATAGGATCAAAGTCTGAGCCAGTTGAAATTACTCAAGACTCAGCGCGACATTGTATTCTATAGATATGCATTAGGTGTAGAGGAGGTCGAATATTTCTATCGTTGTTCTATCTAGTTTTGGCTTGGATTTCTCTTACGCTCGCAAATTTCACTCTCTACTGTTGCAAAACCCGGAAAATAGTGACCATTCATGTATTTTCCTCCCCACACCATTCTCAGTTTTAAGTAACATTTTTGGGTTGATCAGTGTGTTGGAGCTAAGCTATTCTTGTAATTAACAGTACAACTACATCGTATCGTGAGAGTTTGTATCCATTTACCACGCATTACTACAAGTCTACAAAGATCAAGCATTTCACCAGCAATTTCGTTTTGTCGAGTTTGCTATAAGAATGTTGACATCAAATACTACTAAAGAATCCAACCGAAGTTGGGTATGTGGTAAAAAAAAGAAGTTGGGTTTGTGGTAATTTGCTAAAGCATTTTTATCATAAACATCGTCCATGTCCCCATAAGTTATGAAATTGTCCTTCAGATCCATCATTCACTCAATTCAAGAAATTACTGAATGTGGTAGTTTGATAGTAACTCATAAAGCATTTTTCTGACGAACATCTTCAAGTCCCAAGAAGTAATACATAGTAGTACTGTATTATCGTACTACAGTATTAAGTTTTGTTTTTTGTTTTTCTTCACAAAAACTAAAAAAAAATTAAGAATTTAATTAACTTTCGTTGCAGGTGTCTTTTCTCTTAATTAACTTGGTTTAATTTAAGGGGGAATTTAATCAGGTGTTAGACCGAAAGAACGAACGGGTCCCAGGCAAATCCGGTTTATGGTTAAGAGAAAAACCGGAGAAAACCGGCATTGGGTCAATTACAAAACCCTTAGAAGACCAAAAACCCAAAGGCTCGCCCCCAAAACTGAAAGAAAACCCTCACTTGTCATCCTCTTCTTCCTATTTCTTTCTACTGTCGCCGTAAAGCTTTCCCCAATTCGGTAACGACGGCGATGGCGGATCTTTTCCCACCTCTTGCGGCGGCACAAGTCGATGCTAAGTCTAAAGTCGATGAGAAAGTCGATTACTCCAATCTCCCTTGTCCTGTTCCCTATGAGGAACTTCACCGTGAAGCTTTCAGTTCAGTATACTTTTCCCGATCTAGATTTTTTTTTTGATTGCTTATTTCTTCAGATTCACTGTAACTTTTTGAATTCCTCGATATCTCAATCTGTGGATTTATTGATCTGTGTGTTGGAAACGAAAAAAATCTGGAGATAGATGAGTGTGGCTTGATTGCATTGTATTGTTGTGTTAGAGATTTAGCTCTCTTTTGATCTTATTGAGAAATGTCGATTACTTTAGGGTATCGATTTTTTTCTCTATCAAGTGTTCAAGGTCTTGCGAGATTTACAAACAGTAGAATCAGTATAGTAGTATGGTTTAGGTTGTTCATTTGATCCTGATTTTATTCACTTGGTAGTCCAGGAAACTAGATGACAACAGCTTGTTGCTACATGAATTTTGTGAATTCTTAGTAGCGGCTCCAAATCCTTTCAAATGTAGATTTGTGATCCAAAACTTATCAATAATGCTTTCTTTTAATGTTTTAGTATCATAGAAATCCTTAGTAGCTCTCCTAATGATTCCTTGCAGTTTTAATATCAGGTTTAGATTTTTGTTTTCCCTGGGTTTTGACTGGTTTGATTATGCTTTGCAGTGTCTTTAAAGTCAGACAATTTTGAGGGTTTACGTTTCGACTTTAGCAAGGCTTTAAATCAAAAGTTCTCTCTCAGTCACAGGTGATAAGATTATGTTTACAGTTATTGGTAAAGACATACTTTTATTTGGGTTTCTCATTAAGCTTGTTTATGGTTGTTTCAAACAGTGTAATGATGGGGCCAACCGAAGTGCCTTCTCAGTCATCTGAAACAATCAAAATTCCAACAGCCCATTATGAGTTTGGTGCCAATTATTACGACCCAAAGGTAGTATTTGTGGTTATCAGTTTGTTACATATTCCTATGGCCATCAAAATGATATGAAAATGACACAAAATACGCAGTTGTTGCTAATTGGAAGGGTCATGACCGATGGTAGACTAAATGCAAGAGTGAAAGCCGATATAACTGATAAGTTGGTTGTGAAGGCAAATGCTCAGGTGAGTGCTTTTTCTATGGTGTATCTGGATGTTACGTTCATTCTGCAATCTTGTGTTAATCATCCTTGTTTACTTTCTTTGACAGCTGACAAATGAGCCCCATTCGTCGCAAGCAATGTTCAATTTTGATTACATGGTAAGGGATTTCTCGGCATTTGAAATTTTATATCCCTGTGATGGATATTCTGATGATATTTAGTTCATCTGAGTTTTCTTTAATCGTTATGTCTCATATCTGTGTAGGGGAAAGACTACAGAGCCCAGCTTCAACTTGGCCACAGTGCCCTAGTTGGAGCAACCTATATCCAGGTAAATTGGACTATTGTTCCTTGTTGATATTTCTGTGTGAAGTCGTTTAGCCATCTCTGAACGTATGATCTCGTGCAGTTACCTTCATTCATCTAATTGTAACGTAGAGATGAGATACAAATCATAAGTCGTCTATTCGACTGTGTGTTTAGGTCATGCTTAGTTTCTGTGGTTATAGTAAAAGTTGTCTTTTTATATGTGGACATTTTTTTCTTTTGATCAGTAATAGTTAACATTTTAGTATGGCATAGATGATATTCTTGCTTGTTGTCTATGTATTAGTTCTCCCAATTCACTGAATTTTCATGATGTTTTGTACAGAGTGTGACACCCCGTCTATCTTTGGGTGGTGAGGTTTTCTGGGCTGGTGTGCCTCGAAAGTCGGGTATAGGTTACGCTGCAAGATACGAGACTGATAAGATGGTAATGCTCTTATTCTCAGTCAATATATTATGCAACTCGCAGTTTATCACTACATTTCTTTTCAAGCTCTCTTCCACTATTTGTTTTAGCATATCTGTTCTGCTTCACAAACTCAACTCATAGAAATGTATCAAATTTTATATTAATGAACATTTTTATTCATGTATATTTACATATCATATTAAGAACTTTCTTATTTTATAAACAGGTGGCCTCTGCGCAAGTTGCTAGCACTGGTGCCATAGTTATGAACTATGTTCAGAAGATTTCTGAGAAGGTATTGTACCATTCTTATATAATTTCATCTTAAATCCCTATAGAATGTAGAGATCAATCATGAGACAATCATTCTTTTTCTTCCGATAACCAGGTTTCGCTCGCAACCGATTTCATGTACAACTACTTTTCAAGAGATGTAACAGCCAGTGTTGGGTATGACTACATTCTTAGACAGGTAACATCACCATATTTATTGAACTTAACCGACTTGAAAACAAGCAATAAAGGCTTTCTAAATCCGTATTAATTATAATAATCTGGGTTTCGTTTCAGTCTCGTGTGCGAGGAAAGATTGACTCCAATGGTGTTACATCTGCTCTCCTTGAAGAAAGATTGAGTATGGGACTCAATTTTCTTCTGTCTGCAGAGGTAATCTACTCGAACATTCCCAGCTCCTTTATGAATATTAAAACGATGATTCTCCTTTAAAATTCTGATTAGTTTTGTTTTTCCCAGTTGGACCATAAGAAGAAGGACTACAAGTTTGGTTTTGGTTTAACTGTTGGTTGATAAAAAAACCGAAGTAAAAGCCGCACGCAACTAGCCTGGCTCTACAAATATGTAGTGCAGATTGCAGCAGCGGTTTCAGCCTCTGGATTCGGTTAAATTTATTATATTTACCTCAAAGATTTCAGTTTAGGCTTTTTTTCTCATCGGCGAAGTTTGGTAGTTGAAAAACAAAGTTAAAGTTGTGATGTTATTTGAGGATTAAGATTCGTCTCTAAGAACATCCAAAAAAAAAAAACAAAGGAGGTTTTGTTTTTACTTCCTTGCAGTAAACTTTACCCAGAGAGAGTTGTACCCTTTCCTTTGCATTAAAAAATAACGAATTCTTTTTGTCTTCGTTCGTTTTCTTCATATATGCAATTGGGCCGAGACACGTCACTATGGGCCGAGCAAATGCGTTTCGCTTCTTATATTTTACATCTGAGGAAATGTAATTACGAGTAGAAAAGTAAAAAAAACTCATGCTCCCCGTCAAATCGTCTCTCATTCTCCGTCCAAACAGCAACCGTTGGGACTGAGAAGAAAAAACCCTAACAACAGTGTGG